ATGCATACATTTATATATGTATATATGTACACATGCGTCTATATGTTAATATTTTTAAAAATATGGTTGAATATGTTTGAATCTTTTCTAATAGGATTGTAAATTTTAATCATTTTATTTTTTAAAAATAAAATAAAAAATAAAAACATAATGGTTGACATTATAAAGAATCACAAGGAGTGGGGATCCCCACGAGGATGGGGATGGGGATAACTTTGTCCCTATTAGCGGGGATGGAACATGGATGTCGATGGGGATGGGAAGAAGCTCCATGTCCTTGCCCCACCCCGTTGCCATTCTGAATTAAACTAATGAAATTGACCAACCCAATTTATAGTATATCTAGTCAGCTTTGGTTCAACAATTTCCCAACCCGACTAGTTTAAATCAATTTCACTTTGGCCATTTGTAAACTGACTAAAATTGAATGACCCGACCATAGATATATATTAATATTTTATATTTTAAATATATTTATTTAATACAGGAAATTAGGAAAATTCCAATATTTCTTTGGCTGAAATAGTTTATATCATAAATTTAATTTTTAAGTTTATTTTTTTAATAATGTCATTGTATTTTTTTTAATTTAAACTTAATTTTTTAAGTTTAAATCTTTTGAACTGACCGACCAAACCAAAAATTGACCCAAACTGATATAACTTGAGTGACCAACCCCCCAACCTGACCAGGTCGATTTGGTTGGCCAAACAACCTACAATTGAACCGAACCAACTTGTGAACAATAGTTTAATCTCCAATAATTATTAAAAATTTATAGAAAAAATACATAATAAATTAAATTTAAAAGGCTAAATAATAGTAGTTTAAGATCCAATAATTATTGAAAGTTTTCTATTAAACAAAAAAAACAAAAATAGATTTATACATAATTATTGAAAATATATTTATCACAAAAAACAATAAATAATTACTGAAATACAATAAATATTAATTTTAGTATAGATAAATATATAATAAATAAAGATTAAGTTTTTAAAATTATTATTAATAAACAATATTTTTTGAAAGTTATTTTCTAGAATTATTAATTGGTATAAATGAAATTAATTATTTACAATATTATTTATTTATTGAAATAATATCATTATTTAAATTTTAAAATATTAATTACTTGTTGAATTTAATAATCCATAAAATTATAGTACTATTTAGTAACTATTTAAAATATATCATTGATTGATTTAAAATATTAATTTTAATATTCTTTTATTGAAATATTCAAATATTATTTCATTTTTAATGTTAGATTTTTATTATTTGAATAACATTTAAATTGAAAATCTAGAAAATCATAATTTATATTGTTTGTACATAATTTCGTGATGAATTTTGTAAAAATTTATAGTTATTAATAATATGAATATTAGTAAGTCAATTATAATTATTTTTTTGTCTTTTTAATATATATTTTAAAGTTATTATAAAATTTTGTTAGAATATTTAAATAATTCTTAAATTTTTTAATTCAAACTTTCTTTAGATAGATGTAGATAAAAAGTGGGGGAGAAGATAAATAAGAATGATAGATCATTTAGGAAAGAAACTCTCTATTAAATTAGAGATAACTTGGAAGAAAGTTGGGGATAGTAGGGGAGGTTGTTTTAGAGAAATTTTAGGATATTGGATTATTTAGGTTATTGGAACGTGTGGGAGAGAGAGAGAGAGAGAAAGAGAGAGATTTTAGGAAGTTTTTTTTGTTTGAGAAAAGTAGAGTTTCTAATTGATAGTTTCAAATTAGTTTGATTTGGGTCATCTCTCAACCTTAGTACAAATGACTCAAGTAAACCTATTCATTTCTGAGTTTCTTTATGGTGGGAAAAAGATCAAGACCATTTGAGCGGCAACATTGTATTATTGAGGGGTGCTAGTTTACTTTTGGCTATATGGGTTGTGTTTGGTTCTACACATCAACATCACATAGACGTTGGTGTTTACTGCATATGAAACAACTGTTTGGTTTCACCGTTTATCAAATAAATGGTAGAAAATTGAAATGCTTTGATTTTTGTGCATGAGACATTTGAGGAAACGTCAAATTCTTGTTTTTTCCAATGCCCCAAAATTTATTGAAACCAAATGGTGATGTGACACACTTTAATGGGTATTAATTTGAAGTGAAAAGTAAAAAACATTTAAAGCGATGCCCAACCAAACAATACAAATAGAAAACATTTAAAGTGAAAATATACAAATAAACGTTTAAAGTGAAAAAAATACAAATAAATGGCCATCTATAAACGACCACAGAACCAAACACATAGTGTGCCTGAAGGAACTACGTTCAATCTGGTTGCAATTATCGCCAATGGTCATGTATTTGTATCCAACATTTTGCAGCATTGTGAAGTCAATGATGGTATGAGGACTGAAACAGAGTATTCTTTATTACCACCTTCTACAACTTTAACAAGGACTAGATGAAATCCTCCTTCTTTAGGTGCTATTAAGATGAATGTGGACGGAGCTGTTGGTATGTCTCCTTTAAGGGGAGGCATTGTGCCCCGGAATTATTTGGGGGCCTACTTCTCTCATTCTGTGTGCGTGTAGTTTCTTTTAACATGCAAGATCCTTTGGTTACTAAAACAATGGCTCTTCTTAGGGGATTGAAATTAGCAATAGAATTGAAGATCAAATCAGCCCCTTACAACGTCCTATAGCACATTCCCGCCATATATTGGAAATATTTGACGATGATAATATTAAAAAAAAAATGAAAGATCGGATTTAGTAGATACATCAAATTAAGCATATTAAATGAACACTTGATAAATATTTTGACTATTATCAAATGTGAGTATTAATATTTTTCAAAAGTGGGAGACGGCAGGGTCAAAAAAATTTTCAAATACTTATTTAAACGTACTTACAACTTCGTACCTACCTCATCCCAATCCAAATAATAATATCATCATCAGTAAATATTTTCAATACACGGAAGATCTGTGCTGTGAGACGTTGTGGAGGGCTGATTTTGACTTTTCCCTGCATAGCAGTTGGAAGTTATGCCTTGTCTATAATTCAATGTTCGTTGGCGGATGAGATACAACCATCATGATGTATCAGCGATTTGGTTGTTGAATGCAAACATCTACTTGGGTATCAATTTTTTGAATTCTCGATGTGTCATATGTATAGAACCATAAGGTTAAGACTTATTATAAAAAAAGAGAAAAACATTATATTAAGACTTAAAAGATGGAACTGACAGTAGAGAGGAAGTCTATCTGTACATGAAGTATTAGAACCAGATGTGTTGTACCAATTAAAGAAATGGATAGATAGCCTTTGTGAAGTGAAGGGTACGGATTGATAAGAATCATGAGAGGTTTGATCTATTCGCCATCACCAATATCTTCATGGATTTGCAACTGTTTTTCTCTTTTTTCTTTTTTTTTTTTTCGAGTGGTGGGGTGTAGGGGTAAAGATGGATTTGGACCATTGGCCAGAGAACCTGACCCACTTATGTATATAATATGTTTTTAAGTAATTTAGTTTTCATAAATGAATTTGATAATTGACCATTGAAATTCGATTTTAATAGAAGTTTTCAATTGGGTCTGCCAAGATTCTGTCTCGAAGTTAATGGTGGAGGGTTCTTCAAGTTTTCAACTTTTCACATCAGCTCAGGCCACATACTTGTTTTCGGTAGATTGCCCAAAAAAAGTTTTTGATGAAATATCTCTCTCATTCCTTCTTTTAATTTCATTCATTTTCCTTGAACAAAGTGCACAAAATCAGATGGCCCAGATGGGTTTACAGATCTTTTTTTTTTTAAATTCCGAAGCCGTCAGATTGAAATCTGCACAAGGGCCTACTAACATTAATTCCAATCAAACTATATCCAGAGAAATTGCAATGTGAAACCCTTCATACTGAATCAGTTTTCTGCTGTTTTGTTTGTTTTTGGTTTATGGGCTTCAATTCGTACGGTCATTTAAGGTCTGAAGAAAAAGGATAGCAGAGAGGGGCAGAGAGAGAGAGAGAGAGAGAGAGAGAGCAGAGGGCTATTAGGTCTATGGGTTTTCTTGCTGGTTCAGCTTTACTTGACTGCATGGGTTTTGTTTGCATGTACACAATGATGAGAGCGTCAGTAAAAGGATACCCCAAAAGGATTCTGAGGATAAATGAAGCAAATGGTTGCTAATGAACCCCATGACCCATTAGAAACAAGAATTTGGAAATACAAAAGAACCCCAAAACAAATAGCCATCATAACCAGGTTTAATTCATAGCTCCATAGCTGTCCCACGTTGGTTTTTTTAATTAGTATTAATTACGTAAAATTTAAAGAAAGTTGGTATAAGCATTCATTAACGATTAATAAATGCCGCATATCCCTTTTATAAATGATCATTCATTGTTTATTTTAAATTGTAAAAAATAGTAAAATTAAATGTATTTGTCTGAGACGTTCTGAACAGGTTAAGGACACAGGCGTTTTTGCACAGAACCCATCAAAACAAACCTATGGATGGTAGTGCATCAAAGCCAAGCATAAAACCTAATTAATAAGACACCTGTGACTGTAAGAGTGACAGGAAGCTGCTTCGGACCCAAATTTTAAGCCTCAAAATTGGGCTGGAAGCCTGGAACCAAGGAGTGAAAACCAAAATTGAGCAAAAGGAAAAGTGGGGAGGAGAATCAATGGACATTTTTTTTTTATTTTCACTGAGTTTTAATTCCATTTCTATTGAAGATTTTCTCCTCTAAATCAAGCAAAGATGAACAGAGAAGTAACAGTTGTAGAAGGGCACAAGGAGTGTAGTAGAGAAGGAGTGAAGATCTTCTAAGGTTTCTGCAGACTTTGAAAAGCCTGAGAGAAATTGTCAGATAAAAAAGGCTGGTTGATTAAGAGAGAATAAAAACCTCAGAAAAAGGAGGGGCCCAGTCTGCAGTAGACCACTTTGTTTCTCCTTATTATATAATCTTTTTTCTATTTTCTCTCTGTGTTTTCTGGGTTTGGTTTTACTTTTGTCCAGTTAATTTTGGGTTTTCTTGTTTTCCATGTAATTTATCCCTGCAATATCACATGCACTATCAAGATTTGAGATCTTACTCCTATTTTTGGATACGTTTTGATTTGGGTTTATTGTCTACCGATCTGCTAGACTGCTACTAACTCCAAATCACCAACCATATTCCTTGTCTGTTTCTATGACCTTGAAATAACATCTCTTCATCTTTCACAATCCTGGTCCTTCATTGCAGCGATTTTTGTTCAAACCCTCCATGAAAAAACAAGAAATTAAACCTGCAAATCTGTAATCCAACCCAGATATCCCCCAAACAACAATGACCCATCTCTCCCAACTCCCAATTCCAAAAACCCCTTTTGTTTTTAGCCTTTCTATTCGCTGTTCCTAATTTTTGTTTACTTTTATCCACACACACAGCCAATCTTTTCCATTTCAACTGTACGTCTCAGTTTCGTTAAGAAAGAGAAGAATAAGATCGATCAAAACTCAAAACTGAGTTTGTTCCTCCACAAAGGCACAGACCAACCAAATTCGAGTTCGGATTTGTATCTCCTTACCCATAAACTGTTCCCAATCCCATATCCATACCCACAGGTCACTACAGGTGGTAGGCATCATTGGGAATATACCCCTTGTCCAAACACTCCAAAACTTTCCTCTATAAATCAACAAACCAACCCATCTCTTCAAAACTCCAAAATCCATCGGTTTCTTTCTCTACCACCTTTCTTAGTTTCTCTTACTTTGGCAAATAAAACCAATCACAAAATCCAAACTTCTCCGAAGCCCCTTTTTTTACTTTTCTCTTTCAACTTTGTTGACAAACGTCTCTCAGATTCTACGAACACGCAAAAGAGATAAAAGGATGAAGAAAAAGCAGAACCAAAGTTCAAACTGCAACGCCGACCAGTGTCCCTGTCTGTAAACCAAGCAAACCCCATCTCTTCGAAGATCAAACACCCCCAATCCACTCCAGTTTCTTCCATAAATCAACAAACGGCAAACCCATCTCGGCAAACTCCAAAATCCGTCGGTTTCCCTGCAAACTAACCCATTCCCATCTCTTTGGTACTCCAGAGCCTATTAAAGTTTCTCGATAAAAAACCAAACTTGTCTTCTCCTCCTTACTTGGTTTTTCTTTGGCAGCGAAAATTAACTGAAAATGAAGGAGTTTTGGACGTCTCTGGCTTCATTAATGGGCGTCTTCGCCTTCTGCCAAAGCCTCCTCCATGCCGTCTTCCCACCGGAGCTCCGGTTCGCCTCCGTCAAGTTCTTCAACCGTATCTTCAACTGGTTCTCTTCTTACTGCTACTTCGACATCACCGAGATCGACGGCGTGAACACCAACGAACTCTACAACGCTGTTCAGCTTTATCTGAGCAGTTCGGCCTCGATCACTGGCAGCCGTCTCAGCCTCACTCGGGCCCTCAATTCAAGCGCCTTTACATTCGGCCTATCCAATAACGACTGCCTGGTCGATACCTTCAATGGCGTCACCGCTTGGTGGGAACACGTCGTCACGCAGAGGCAGACACAGACCTTCTCATGGCGACCTCTACCCGACGAGAAGAGAGGCTTCACACTTCGAATTAGGAAGAAGGATAAAGCCCTGATCCTCGATTCTTATCTAGATTACATCATGGACAGGGCCAGCGAGATCCGTCGGAAGAACCAGGACCGTCTTCTCTACACCAATTCGCGAGGTGGGTCGCTTGATTCGAGGGGTCACCCATGGGAATCGGTTCCGTTCAAGCACCCAAGTACCTTCGACACTCTGGCCATGGACCCAGCAAAGAAGGCCGAGATAATGGCTGATCTTCGAGACTTCGCTGATGGGCAATCGTTCTACCAGACGACGGGTCGAGCCTGGAAGAGAGGGTATCTTCTTTATGGCCCACCTGGTACTGGTAAATCGAGCATGATTGCCGCCATGGCCAATTACCTTGGCTATGATATCTATGATCTTGAACTCACTGAAGTAAATACCAATTCAGAGCTTCGGAAGCTTCTCATGAAGACGACTTCTAAATCAATTATTGTTATCGAAGACATCGACTGCTCCATCAATCTAACCAACCGGAAGAAGCCGGCCGGGAGGAACTACCATGACCCGATCCCTGATATGCGAGGTGGAGCTGGTTCGGGTGGTGAGGATGGTGGGAATTCGATTACACTTTCAGGTCTTTTGAACTTTACAGATGGGCTGTGGTCTTGCTGCGGAAGCGAGAGGATTTTCGTGTTCACGACGAACCACATTGAAAAGCTTGACCCTGCGCTGTTGCGGTGTGGGCGCATGGACATGCATATCTTCATGAGCTACTGTTCTTTCCCGGCATTGAAGATTCTTCTGAAGAATTACTTGGGACTGAATGAGGGCGATTTAAAAGATGAGGTACTGAAGGAATTGGAAGCTGTGATCGATATGGCGGAGATGACTCCGGCAGATATCAGCGAGGTCCTGATCAAGAACAGGCGCGACAAGGCGAAGGCGATGGCGGAGTTATTGGCGGCATTAAAGAATCGGGCGGAGTGTTACCGGAAGGGGGCGTCGAGGGAGAAGAATTCGACGGAAGTGGAGGAAGAGGAACAGGAGAAGAGGGCATTGGAGATGCCGAAAGAGGGTTGTGAGATGCAGGAAGACTGCAACAAAGGAGAGGCTGAAGAGGGGAAGATTAACTGAGAGAGAGAGAGAGAGAGAGAGAGAGGAAACTGGAAAGGATTCATTTTTAGTTTTGCTCTTGAATTTGATTTGTGCACATTGATAGAATACTAAGAAAGTGGAACAAGGACCTGTTTGGATATTCAAATATCAAATTTTGATGGTGGGGTTTGTGATTCTGAAGAGATGACAAGGGAATCAAGGAGGAAAGTTCTATTTTTCTCTCTTCTTTCTTGAGTTATTTTTGCAAGTTTTATATCCTGTCTTGTTGTTTTTGTCTGAATAATGAAAGTTGACATTATATGGACTATAGATTGCATAACATATATTTGCATGTGGGCTGTTTTGTTCAGTATCATGATAGTCTAGAATCATATTTCTGACTCATCTATCCTATGCTTTTGTTTCCATTCTAGGTTCCAGATATTGAATTTTATTCTCTACTCGTAGCTATAAAATATAGGATCATGAGAGAGAGAGAAAGAGAGAGTTGCTGTTGTATCCTTCTTGGTAATTTGGGCATATTGTGAGAATAACAAGGGATCCATATGTAATTTAATAAGGAACAAACAAGAGCTAAATAAATGGGTTTGTTGGGGAGATAGAGAGAGAGAGAGAGAGAGAGCCCATGTGCAGCAAATTTCCATTAGATTCCAGTTATGATTAATGTTTTTTCTTTCTTTAATTTTGGAGGTGACAAGTTAGAATTGAAGAGCCGAATTTTCTCAAAAGGTGAAGACCAAAAGACAATCCGAGATTATGTTTTGGGGGAAAGATGGGAATTTGGTTAACAAACAATCTAGAAGTCTTCTCTCGAATTAAGAAAAGTTGATTAATATTTGCTTCATTTTTGACTTTGAGGACTTGTAAAGGTGGATCCATCTCGAGCTGGTGTAGATATTGGCCTACGTGAAGACGAGAAATGATATACAGATGATGTAGAAAGGAGATCATGTCAAGAAAAGGCAGACCATCAACATCCATCTTAATCTATTACAGATCAAAAGCTAAGAAGGGGACCATATACTGTACATCTTTTTGTGATCTGGATAAATACTTATTGGTTTCATGTTCGATTTGCAATCCGTAGCCCTCTAGCTATAGTGACTAGGGGTGGTAGTCTTACCTACCAGAACATGTGGTTTTGTTTCGAGGGAGAATTTAGGGTCCAAAGTGGGAATAGTTTAGAAATGTTAGTTTGGTTAAGTTTACCCTCAATCCATGCATTACCAAAGGTAAATTTTAATTTAACGTTTTCAAAATTTTGATGCTAAGTACCCTCAACCAATGAAATGAAAAGTAGGCCAAATTTTAATTTAACGTTTTCAAAATTTTGATGCTAAGTACCCTCAACCAATGAAATGAAAAGTAGGCCATGTAACATCTTTAACGATATTAGTTGAGAATCCAGAGCCCACCTCAACACCAACCTCAACCTCACATCACATTGTGTATTAGGAACATTTCTCTATTAATAATCTATACCACTTTAAAAAGTACAAATAGTCTCAAGAATATTTCTATGATTTTTTAAGGATAAAATTTATCCATCTATATTTACATTTATTGATAAAAAATGAGGACAAATACGACAATTGGTTATTGATATTGAATGAGTTGAAAAGAGGTAATTTTAAGATATTTAATTCATTCAATTTCCTCTCATTAAATCCAACTTTTAAGGTATTAACTTGCATTTGTTTTTTATTGAATCATATATTTAAGACATTTTTGTTTCTTTTTATCATTAGATTCTATTAATTAAATCTATATATAATAAATTAATAGTTCCAATGACAAAAACTTATACTTTTAAAATCTACTTGAAAAAATAGTGTTTTCATCTAGGTTGTGGTAAGAAATTAAACTATTTTTGGTCTAATGGGTTAAAATCCATGTTGCTACAATTAAATAATAAAATTCAAAAATCGATAAAATGCAAAAAAAGAGATAAAAAATAAAAAAAAGTGGGAACATTTTTAACACCATATATTAAACAATAATAAGTATGATAAATAAGAAATGTTTTTATTCATTATGGAAATGGAATGTAAAATTTAAAACCAATTGAAAATAAAACTATTTTCCTATTCTCTCTCATTAAATCTCATATATAAGTTATATTATCTCATATTTTTCTTATCATTAAATTTATAACATTAATTTTAATAGTATAAAAATAAATATTTTGAAAAGTAATTTGAAAACAAAACCATTTTCTTTCCTCCTAGTGATGGGTAAGCAATAAACCATTTAGGGTCAAATAAGTTAATAAATAATACCATAATTAAATAAATAAAAAAATTATAATATATATAAATAAAAAGAATTGGGCATATTTCTAATATTGTATATTCAATATACTAAACAAAAATAAGTATGAATTATAAGTAGTTTTATTAATGATGAAAATGGAATACCAAATTTAAAATAAACTTAGAAATGAAATGATTCTATAGTCAAATAATAAAATTTTAAAATAGAAAATACAAAGAATAAAAAAAATAAAAAAAGAAAAATTGGGTACATATCCAATATTATATATTTATAAAAAATAAAGTATTATGTACATCTCTAATATTATTAATTCATTATATTGAACAAAAATAAGAATTATATATAAGAAATAATTTCATTAATGATGGAAATGTAATACAAAATTTAATGTCAACTTAGAAATCAAACTATTTTCCTTTTTGGGTGGTGGGTTAGTAGTTTGGGTCAAATGGATTAATCGATGATATGATAGTTAAACAATAAATCTTTAAAAAATAAAAAGTACATGCAATCAAAAGAATATATAAGAAATATATATTAATTATGTCAAAAATAGGTGTAATAATTAAACATTAATTATAAAATATAGATGAACTATATAATTTAAAATTGATTTGAAAGCAAAGCTATTTTCTTATCTGGATGGTGAGTCAATGATCCAACTTCTCAAAGAAACTCATGATGTCATAATTGAATAATAAATATTTAAAAAAATATAGAACATAAAAAATGAAAAAGTACTGAAATTTGTCGAAAACATTTGGGAACGTTTCTAATGTTATATATTCATCATATTAAATAAAAATAATTGTTAAAGTAAAAATTATGTTTATTTAGGACAGAAATGGAATACAAAATATAATAATTGTTCATGTCATTTAAAATTTACATGTGCAATGCACATGCACATTTACTACAAGCATTTAACTTTATTTTTAATCGGATTGTTATTTATGTTAATTTCCAAGTTTTATCTTAACTATGATATATCTAAAATTCAAGTAATTAATATGAAGAGAATTTTTTTACGTTCGACATACGTTCTTAATTATTAGTAACATATAAATGTCGGACAGATGTTCCCAATGTGTGGTTGGGATGTGCTGTGAGGAGCAAATTCAAACTCATTACTTAATTGAAAGTGTAAAGTTCCACCCCCATTCCCTCCAAACTATGGGGGCTGTGTCACTTTACTACATAAACTCAAGGTTCAAAACTTTTGATACGAGTTATTCCATATCAGGTGTATCATATTGTATCGGTAGTTCCCCAAAACTCCAAATAAAAAGTAGGCATACCTAAAACCAACCCTCAAACAGTTTTGATAAAAAGAAAAACTAAGAAAAAATTATGAAGTATTAAAACGCCTGTTCATGCGTATGGGACCTATAGAAACTTTAAATCATGCCTAAACTATGCAAAGTTGCATATATGCCCCCACCATTAGTAAAAACCAGATTCAATTAGTGCAAGGCCCGTTCAAACAGTTTTTATAGCCTTGCATTGGGAATATCTCCTCACGAAATAAAGCACAGAAATATGGAGATATCCTCAATGCAAGGATGTAAATCCTGTTCGAATGGTGTTTGAATGCGTTTTGCACTGACTGAAGCTGATCTTGAAAGGAAAATGATCATGTGCGAATCAGGTGGCCTTTAAATTTTTTGAAATAATTGAAGTACCATTTTAAATATCTTCATCTTCCTAAAAACAGAGCTTTTTTTCTTTGAAGAGGGGCAGTTTGATGTTTTGTGGCTTGTGGGCGGTATGAAGAAAATTAACCTGCATACTCTAATGTCGTACTCTTATATTTGCTCATTGTCTAGCCAGTTGGAGCACCAAGATCTGAGAGAGGGATTTATCCAATTTTTTCCTTTTATGCAATGAGAAGATAATCATTTGAAAGGCAAAGTTCTAGCAAATCTCAACCTTTTGTCCTCAAGTTTTAAAAATTTCACCTTTTTCCTTTAGGCTGTGTTTGGTTTGTTTGAAAGAAAAGGTAGAAAAATCTATACAAACCTTATAAAATTTTCCCTCCTTTTCTTTCAAACCAAGCACAGCCTTATATAGCGAGAAGAGAACTAAACTATATTCCTTGTCAAAGTTTTAGAAAATTGTCTGAAAATGATTGTAAATTTTATATAATAGAGGTGATTTATAACATTGACAAGAATTTTGTTTTTTATTTTCATTATATAATAGTTACTTTTAGACTGTGTTTGGTTTGAAGGAAAACGCAGGGAAAGGCAGGGAAACCTATACAAACTTTTCCCTTTCTTTCCCTACCTTTTCCTTCAAACCAAACATAGCCTTAAAGCAAATCTCAAGTGTTTCTTAGGGTTGTGTTTTTAAGAACAGTAAAATGTCAGTAATCGACAAGTGGAAAATTAGGCCCCATTTGCTTTATGGGAAATTATTTATCCAGGTAAATACACTTATTTAGGTAAATATTTCCTGAAAAACACTTATTCGGGTAAGTGCATTTACCCATGTGTCTTTTATTTACCATGTAAATAGAAAAATGACTATTTTAGCCATAAAAAGTCATTATAAAAGGGGCAATTTTATCTCATCCAAGTGTTGGCAACTTTACCTCTGATAAGTAGAAAAGTTACATATTCACTTGGGAGATGACATCATTTATTCAGGTATCTTGGTCAATGGAAAATAAAGTCCCAGTGAGGCATATTTTTTTATTTTCTACATAAATAAGATAATGACCATTTTAACCATAAAAAGTCATTATTAAAAGGGACAATTCTGTCCCATCCAAGTGTTGATAAATTTCCCTCTTGTAAGTGAAAATTATTTATCCACCTAGGAAATGACATCATTTATCCAGATATATTAGTCATCTGGGTAATGGAAACTAAATTCTCTGACCAACTTTCCCCACCCCCTCTTAAAATCCAATAAAGAAACGGGCCCTTAAAAATAAGAATGACCTGTACAAAACACCAGAAAATGTATTAAATATATCATACAATCCATTTCACACTTGGATTAATTAGGAATAAAGAGAACAGTAGCAGACTAATAAAGTAA